AATATTATACGCATGTTAAATTAATTTATTATATGTTTACTAATTTTGTTTAATTTTATCATTAACCAAAACCAATATTATTATCAACTTTATATTGATTTTTCGGTAAACTCGTGATGTGGATTATTCCGCTGTTAATTGTTTAAAATAGAGTTTATTTATACATATTATAATTAATACTCTAACAAATTTGAATTCTACAATATAATTAGTCCGTTATCGTACAGCAGTTTCGACAATATACCTCTGAAGAAAAGTTAGTGTGTTAAACAAATGGTTCAGGCTAAGAGAATACTCAAGAGCCATTGGTAACAAAAACGAATGACGGTTGTCTGACGAATTATAACGTAGTAATAAAGAAAAGACCTTAACGCGGTTTATGTGAATTCTAGTTTATGTGATGAAAGAAGATCTGCTGTGGGCGCGATAAACATTTACGACCCTCCTGTGGGTTTTGGGATTTGACTGCGATAACTCACATTATTCTTTTCCCGCGGAAACCGCTCGAGTATACGGATAACGTCGAATTGAGTCCATCCTACTTTTAGTTATTTGAATTGAGTCCAGTGTAGTATCTTAATATGTTTGAATTGATTATGTAGGTAAGATCGTAAGCATAGTCTCGTTTGCTATTATTAGGATGGAATTTGGACGGATTATATTGAATTGAGTCCCAAATAATGGTGTTGGTGAAGTAAAACGGCGTGCGATACGAAACGATAAGGTATAACCATCAACGGCTCAACAATATATTATACTCGTTAAAAATTACACAGTTCTATAGTTGTGTCGAATACTTCGTGAACGCAATAAACACGATTTATTACGATTGCAAAATCATTGAGTGTATGACAAAAAAACATTTTTATAATCAATGGGTTTAAGTTTAGATTACTTCAAAATTGGGAAAAGAACCAAAAACCGCCGACTAAAGCCACGTCTTTCACAAGATATCTTACTACCTCCAGAATCATCATCGTCATCTTCATCATCGGTATCATCAGATTAATGACCTAATTAAAACAACTCATAATTTATGTACAATTTGCTAAATTAAAATAATTATAAATTATTTTATTACTCTATTATGCCTACCTAATTATGTAACTTATTAATTAATATATTGTAAAAACAAGATTATGTTGAAACAATTAAAATATAATAAAAAAAAAAGTTTAAATTCAATTTAAATTATCCTCTAATAATGTAGTCATAGAAAATTGCAATGAACACAATCACGAAAACGTGCTTACTAGACAAAAAATTAGTAAATGTGTTTAAAGGAAAGCTGTGGATGATATTTCTACCCGACCATCAAAACTAATCAGCCAACCTCCACGCGGTGTCTCCTGGATAACGCTAATACAACCAAAAAATATTTGTTGGACTCAATTCCGACAACCCAAAAATATTCGTAGGACTCAATTCAATATCACCGGAGTATACGAGGTCCTCCTAGCATCAAAAGGCAACTAAATTATTATTTTTTGCCTGCTGAATGATCTCTTACCGTAGTCAGAAAGCTATGTTAGCATTTTAGGAAACCGTTTTACATCAAGAAATGATTAAGCTTACTTAAGTTTCCCCTAATAATTTCCATCAATGTTCCACCAATCACTATATCATAATGAAAATAAATGTGTGACCCAAAAGGTTGGTATATAAGCTAAAAATAAAAATGCCATACCGAAAACCCTTTTTTGTGATGTGATTGGGACTAATTTGACCCAAATCGGTACGCTCACAATTTTTATTTTCTCAAGTGTAGGTATAACCTAACCCCTCGTTTCTATTACAAAGGGTAATCTGTTACTTATCGTTTCTTTCAACTAGTTAAGTATTTAAACCACTCTTATCGTGAAGTGTCGTGTCAAGAAAACAAACATTTAAGTAGATGAAGCATAAAAAAAAATGCATAAAATATTTTAGAGTATAAGTGTGTGTTTAGTCTTAGTTGGCGTCTCGCTTTTTTAACAGGTTTTTCTTAGAAGTTTAGTAGAATTTATTTACTATCCACTATATAACTGTTATCGTTTTTTTTTCATAGTATATAATATAAATACTTTACGGCGCCAAAGAAAACCAAAACTAAAGACATCTTATCAATTAGTATTTTACGTTAGTTGCTATATCATATATATTTAATCTGCATGCTTATAATATTAAGAACACAATAGAATAAACCAAATCGATAAACTGATAAATGACTAATAAGATAGGAAAAGCTTAAACTCAAAGTTCGGTTATAGTAATAGCCTCAGTATCTGGCATACCACATACACACTATAATTACAACTGGTTTTATAACAAACTTACCTGTTCAGATAACTCATATTAATCTTTATACGGCTAGTATAGTCAGAAGGTCATAATAATTATATTGTGTCAGTGTAAGTACTAGTCTATCCGTACGGTATTACAAGAGCTGTGCAAGAGCTGGTCGAGTTGATAGCTTTTCTGAATGAGTTTTCTGTGGGATACCTTGCAAATGATTTAAAATACCATACCCCGTTGTAAAAAATAATGTATCAATTCTGGAATTAATCTCACTGTAATTGTCCACTCATTAGCAACTCGATAAAAGCGGTAAATATTGGTAATGATTATCGTACGTTGCGAAAAGCAATGGAATATGAATCGACCATAACATAATAAACTTTTATTATGTCATGAGTTGCAAGGGGAAGCAGTCGTTCATTTAAAATTATACCTGCACACATTCGCCAAAACGTACTTTTACAACAATGAATCCCATTTGACCGGAGACTCATTAACAGTAGTTGATACAATACCAATAGTTAATCTGTAAATTAGTCTAAAATATAGAATATAGATAAATATTATTCGTTGAATGCCGTATAATGTTACTACCAAAGGGCGAAGCTGTTAAGGCTTTTCAAATTTAAACGGTTCTTATTCCACAGAAGCAGGTTCAAAGCGGTTTGGTTTTTAATTGAAGACGTGTCTTTCGTCAATAGTATTTAAACTCTCTTGTGAATAAATAATAATTTCATCAACTATAAATATTAATAAAAAACGTGTACGGGGTATTGGCCCTCACACGAGCTTGCTCAGTGGGGCCTTTTATACATTATACATTATACATTATAAATAAATAAATTACGGCACGCTCGCTTGTGTGGTGTATTTTTTTAATAGTACTAACTACTATACCATCAAGTTGTAAAAAACAAAAAAAACCCTATTAAAATAATTTTTAAAAACGTGTTTTTCTACTTTTTTTTATTAAAGAAAACTGAAAAACTTTTGCCCTTCCCAGGCGCATGTAATACTATACAGTATATACTAACAAAATACGCCACGTGCCATTCCGCATTCGTATATAATGTATTATTAAAGGCCTCCCCTTAAGGCTTGTTATTATATCACTTATCAGTTAATATCAGTTATAGTAATAGATATCATAATATTATGCAAGTATTAACTCGATAATTCGGTACCTAATAGTTATATTAATTGTGTTGTTAACTATTACCCACCCTAACCGATTACCGAGTATAGTAATTATGTGTACCGTGCAATAATTATTGTACTGTCGATTTTTACACTACAGTTGGACACGTCTTGGCGTTAGCATGTTTTGGAGCGTCTATGCGGAAAAAGTAGTTTTTTTGAACACAATATAGTAATGTGGTTTGTATAATATGCTCCGCCGGGCGATAATCACGTCGAACGGCTAATAATAGGCAAAAAGCGATAATAGTTATTATCTAAAGAGAAACGCCGAGCAAGCCGACGGCCACACAAAGGCAGGCATGTAGTGCGGACGCCCATAGGACTATGTTATGGTCCGATTATGTAGTTTTTGTTGATGACGTACGGGTGATGAGCAACTTTCTTCGAACCGAACACTACACAGTTGCACGACGTACGTACGTAGCTGTACCCACGCGTTTACAGTAACTACAGTGTATTGCACACACATTATACAACAATACATACATAGTCGTTGTTATAAAGGGAATCCAGGCGGATCCAAAAGGTGGGGCTAAGGGGTTTTAGCGCCCCCCACTCCTCTAGTCGTCGATTATTATATATAAAGCAAAATACCCCCCTCCCCCCCCACCAACAATAACAATAAGTTCAATCGAAATAGCTCCACTTATAATACTTGTACCTACGTTCGAAAATCAATATACTATAAACACAATTTTTTTGTATTTAATTTCTTTTAATTGTTTCAACGGTAGAGTTAAAAAAAAGTGATATTGGATCTTCCAGAAAACAATTTTTTTTTACCTAGACCCGCGTCTATTACTATGCGATTGTCGTCCACCGATAATCATTGTGTTAATTATTATTTATTATTGTATTGAATTGTTGTAAAACGGCGACGGATAGAAAAATACGTCTTCCGTACTACGAATCGGAAAAAAAAGCGTTCCCGAGTCTTTGTAGGAATTTTTTTTTCTTTTTATCTCTCGGAAACCGATTGCGAGATACGAATACGGCACACGATGTGTTTCTAATGAACCGCCGATCGACGGGTCGTCGGTCAATTATAAAAATCGAAAACGTTCCTATTTTTTTTAATTTGCAATAGCACTAATTACAAACCGAACACGCGGTATGAATTATTTAATTATATTGCGACGTGTCTGGCGCTGAAGGTCTGTCTAACGTTTTTTTCTTTCTTTTCTTTGTACATTAAAGTCGATTATCTCATAGCGCCGCCGTCAAACACTAATACACAGTACCAGGGACCGAACGCCAACGTTTTTAACTGTGGGAACAACTACACCGGGCGCATCGTTGTCGTCCCTGTACTTAGCAGCGATTCGCCGTCGGTTTGTTTTTCCACCGAAATCTCCTCCGTATGGGTAAACACCCGTGAATGGAAAAAGAAATGGATAGTAGTGCAGGAGAGACGACAGGAAATCGATCAATTATACACGTGAAATATAATATGACAAAAACGAAAAGATAATGAGAAAACTCGTTAATATTTATTGAATATTTTACAACACTCAACAATAAAAAAAAAAAAAATTACAAAGACAATTATTTAAATAAATAATAATAATGATAATAGTTATAATATCAATATTTATTAAAACTATCGAGGACACGATTTCTACGGTCTATAAAATATTTTCATAATAAATTATGCGAACAATAATTTTTTCATATAATATAATATTTACAATTAAAATTAGGCTAACCCGCGGGCGTCAGTGAACCGGTTACCGGTGAATAATAATAATAGTAATAATGTAATATCTAATCTGCAGTCAATGTTCTAAAGTCCACTAGTTCGAAAACAAAAAGAAAGTATTAAAGATAATCTACAAGGGCAAATAAATAACGTTTGTACCATAATATTATTATTATAATAATAATTGAGGATATTATACAAGATAAGTAATTTGTCAATAACAATTGACAAAATTAATAGTCTAAAAATAGTTTATACATCTTAAATAATGTGTTTATTGAATTATTGCAACTTGCCCGGCACACATAGTCGGCGCGCGCCGACCGTGCTGGAGATAAACGATTTTTGTACAACAGACCTTAAATAGTAAATAGTAGTTTTTTCCTTAAAATAAAAATGATTTTCTGTAACTCGTCGGCATGACGTGTTTACGTAGTTTTTGTCCCTTAACTCGGCAGTTCTACCCGCGCACGTCCGTTCTCCATAAAGTTCTGCCTGTAACAATAAAAACCCGACCAATAAGCATACAGTGTTCAATGACTGCCGTCTCGTTATGTATTTTGTAATAAGCATATTATATTGTGGTGTCATTATAGTTTCTTCGTTTTACCTCGCAGTCTCTCCTTCACAAACACTTGATAATACTTTATCAATTACCCAAAAACAAAATTACCCTATGGCTATCCTACGTGAACAGTTTTTTTTCCTATTCCTGATTTCAAATTCTTCCAAACGACCCAACTCTAGCACAGCTTCCAAACTAATGATTTTAATTTCGTTCGACTTCCACAAACCGAGCAACACTAAAACTTGTCTTTTTTATCCAAACGCCAATTCGACACATTATCGCCGGCCTCGGTTATGTTATACTCTCTTCTCACACATCTACAAAGCAGCTCATTGGCGCTCTTCGTTTAACTCACAACTCCAACCGTTTTCCGTAAAACCGAATCTTGCTTATATATGTACAACCATTGATTATAAATACATTAGACAGGCCACTAGCCGTTTTTTTTTGGTTGCGCATAAAATCCAGTGACTGTCGACTATAACCGTCCTGGACGTATTGCGCATGCGCGTCAACAGCCAGCGCTCCCCACGTTACCCGCAATAACTAAGAACACTGTAATTTACGCGCAGCCAAAAAAAAACCCGCCAGCGGGCTACTATTGTACATTTTATAGTCAATGGTACAACTATACCGTTAAAGAAGCACTAAGAATTTCGTTAAGAAATAATAATATATTACTTGTACAGCGCGTTGGCCTTGACGGAGAGTCCGGCCGCCACTTTTTCAATGTTCTTCGTCATGTTTTCCATTTTACGGATCGTGTGTAACGGTATGGCTGCCGGCATGCCAGGCGGGTGCGGGGACAGCCTGGACGGGGACGATCTGGGCGGCGACATAGGATTCCGTTGTTGGCCGGCGGCAGCTGCTGCGGCGGCAGCGGCCGCGAATTGCACCAAGTGTTGCTGGTGTTGTCGGAAGAGCAGTACCGAAGGATTTGGTATGTGGCGGACGCCTTGGTTGGGAGGTCCGTGCTTGGGTTTGGCGTCGTTAGCACGGGATACCGGACACTTGGCTACGGCCATCGAGTACTTTTGATTGGCGGTCTGGTGAGCTTTGAACGACGGCATGGGCGGCACGGGTATCCTCAGCGGCAGGTTCGCACTACCGTTGGACATGGCCGACCGTTTAGGCGAACACGATCCGTTCTGACTGTAGTTGGAGAAACGTTTCTTGTCCTGCCCGGTGGGAGACATCGTGCTGCGAACGTGAGTCGACGTTTCGGATAACGTCATCAGACTGCGCATAGTTGTCGGCTGATCGTATTGTCCGTTGACGTGGGCCGGCGACATATTGTTACCGTTGCGGTTTGGGTACGGCAACAGGACGTCTTTCCGAGTCGATTTGCCGGACAGGTCCAGAGCGTCGCTTTGATGTTGCGACGTGCCGTTTTCCAACGATATGGTCACGCTAGTCTTCATGTCGTCTTGTTTTATCGTGTTGTTGTTGCTACCGGCCGGGTTACGGTTTTGAGTTGTTATGGTTATGGAAGGTTTGGCCGATTTGATTGGGATCACGGCGGGTACGGGTTTCTTGGTTTTGGGTTTAACGACGGTCTCTTGGTGCTGTTGGTGTTCCGACTGTTGGTTGTTGACGGCTGATGCCGGCGACGCTTTGGAGACGGACACTTCGGCACCGGCCGTGGGAGACGACGGCGGACCGTTGACCCTAACGATCTCCAACGAAGGCCGTTTGCTGCCCAAATCGTGACTTCCCGATAACATCAAAGACTTGTCTTTTTCCATTTTTATCTTTTCCTCGGCAGTGATTATGCTGACCGTAATCGAAGACGGCGGCATTATCAGCATTTTCGGTGACGTCTCCTTGGCTACTCGTTGTTGATGATGTTGCGGTTCGGCCTGAGGTGTGGATCTAACGGCTCGCATTTGCAACATCGTCTCCTTGTGGTCGACGACTGCGGTCTTTGGGGGCTCGTCGGCGGTCTTGGGCGACCGATGATTGGTAGCCTGCAAAGACGGTTTGGTTCTGGACTCGGACGAAGGTCTTTCCGTTTTGGTTTCTCGCGTTTCCTTCGGTTTGACCTCGGCGAGTTTCGGCGGTTTGTCTTCGCGAGGCGATTTCTTCGGTGGATCCAAAACGAGCACGACGCTGTCGCTAGAATGTTCTGACAGGTGCAAATCGTCTTCCTTGTACGAAGAACGGGCTGGAGACGATGACACCGCAGAGTAAGCCGGCGAAGCGTTTCCGTTGCAATGTTTGACGTGCCTATGATGTCTGTCTTCCTTGTGGCGATATCCCGGCAAAGTGTTCAACTTCACTTTCAATTTCATTATGTCGCGGTCGGGAGAGTGCACGATGGTGGCCGTTGGCGGAGGCGATTCCGGCGACGATCTCCTCTTGTGATGGTGATGGTGCTTGGCTTTCTTGCTCTTCTTCTTGTTCCGGCCTCCTTCGTGCCTGTAGTGTTTGTCTTTCTTTTGGCATTTCTCTTCTTCCACGTCTTCGATGACAAACATTTGACTAGCCGTTTCGTTCACCTCCTCCTCCTCCGAATGATTCGACGATATTCTTAGACGACCGGCATCTTCGTCGTCGTCCTCTCCCTCGATGATTTCCTCGATGTCCTGCTCGTACTTGGAGTAATCTTCATCGGACTCTTGGAAGTCTTTTTCTTCGTCCAAATCGATGACGTTGTTATTGTTATTTTTAGCGCTTAACAAAAGACTGTCGAACAAACTCTTTTTGGACACGGGTCCTTCGTCGTAGCGGCTTTTGGCTCTGCGTTTCCTCTTGGTATACGACGACTTTCGGTGAGATTCCAGTCGTTCGATCAGCGGTTTCGAATCCAAACTCGTGCTGGATGCATCATCGCATTCGGAGACACTCTGAGAAGACATGAACGGTAACGACGACGAGGCCACGCTGTGCGAATCGTCGTCATTGTCGTCGTCCACGTCAACGTCTTCGTTGGTTTCCACTTCTTCTTCTACTACAGGAACGGCCACGGTGGACTTTTCCAGGATTTGAAAGAACAGTTCCATCGGACATTTCTGTAACATAAAGCAAAACGAACCGCTATGGAATTTCTATACAAACGATAACGATAACTACTGCACGAACTACAGCGGTATACACACCTGGGTCTAACTTTGTACGATGTAAAAAATTACTTTTAATGCATAATAAAAAAAGAGCGTTTACCTGGTCCCATTCGAAACAGTAAGCTACGTCGATTAGAGAAAAATCGTCGGGCAGACATTCGGCCGAATGGATGATTTCAACCTGTAACACAAACACGATGAAATAAGAAAGAGACGAGCAAAAGGTGATCAAAACAAGAACCATCGTCAAACATAAACGAGAAGACACAAACAAAGCGAGTAGCTTACCTTATGCTGATCGGTCAAGTTGTATTTGATAGCTATGAACTTCTTTAAGTGTTCTACGGTGACGGCGGCTGGACAATTGAGGTATTTTCTGTGGGCGGCCTGCAACAAGCACATTATTTATCAGCCCCGGAAAACGAATACAATTTAATATTATGAATAGAAAGCAAATCAATGCTCCAGAGTTTACATATCTCATCTAATTTTTACAAAATTATAGAAAAACTAAAAACACTGTTTTCATGTCTGTATTTGTAAATTTATTTTTAAAAATATTTTACGTCCATCCTACAATTTGCTTAACTATGGCTATTCGTTGAGACACTTAGTTGGGTTACACATACATAACCGTCTACTGGCTTATAGGTCGCCTATTTGTCCAGTATACAAGTTGTAATATCAATATACAAGTGACGTTATATTCACCTTTAAATCCTCGATGACTGCTGGGTCGTTCTGTTGTTGATCTAGTGCGTCTGTCCGGGAACTGCAAAACACAAAAATAAACAAAATATAATTTTAGTGTTTAAGCACAGAATATCCCTGAGAGGGGGTGGGGTAAACCTGTAGTAGTAATTTGGACGTTACAAACGACCGGACGCAAGACTCCGGGGACTAACACGAGATCCGACTATTTGCAAGGGTGGTTGAGGGTGGCGGTTGTTGCACTTAGGGGGCATTTGACTTATCAATATAACGAGATCACCGTGCACCGGGGAGGGTCGAGGGTTTCGGTCGACGGCCACCCGTGACCGCCAGTGGATTTTTATCGCCCTTGTCGTTTTTTACGCACCGTCGGGTTTCACGGAGTACAAAAAAAATAGACGTAGGTACAAGACGGCCGACACCTTTTTTTCAACTTTAACAAAAAAATATACAAAGACGGTAGCCCGAGTAATGCATAATACTATTATATATCTACACATGTTGTGAGTAGACGACGAGGCGTGACGCCGCAGTATACATTACAATTAGCCATACCGAACCGGTTTTGACGAAAAATAAAAGCGTGAGAAGCCAAAAAAATAAAAATAAATAATGGTCATAGCGAACTAAAGAACATAAATAATTATTATTATATTATACGGTTAAGGCATATACACTACCACGGTGTGCGTTACATTGGTTCTTTGGATTACCCGTTTGGCGACAACACAAGCCGGGTTACGATTCTCTTTTGTACATAATATACTGAACAGTATAATATGGAATAACAGTGCACAAATGGACACATACACTCGCCTAACATTAAATCCGTTCATTGTATACGGTGGTCTAAAGCGGACGCGAAACGGATGAGTTACAAAAATTGAATGCGAGATCATCGCAGCAGAAACGTTCACCGCGTCAAGCAAGATGATATTATTATTATAATACTATTTGAGCCAACGTTGTTGGCTCAATAATATGATGTAGGTACAAGACAAAAATTGCAGATAATAAATATTGTACAACGCCCTCGGCACAAATAAATCGCGTAGGCCGCCGGCATATAAAAAAAAATGGGGTGACGGCTAACGTGTTGGAATTTATTACTGTATAACTCTCCCGGGAGGCACCAGCAGAGAGGGTTGTACTTATTTATATATATATAGTATTTAGTATATATATCGGGCGTCGTGGCCGAGAGGGTTACCGCGGCAGTGATTTTACGCACTAGCCGTGGTTCGAATCTCGGTCGCTGGCTATTTCTCTAGCTGGGCGTGCAACCGTCTGGAGAGAGAAATGGCCACCCGACTGGGCGCTTCTAATATCGCGTCAAGTCACGTGGAAGTTCTATAATATGTTATGATATTATAATGTAATTAAAAAAGTCTCGAACCACTAGTATTTCAAGAGCAGCGGTAGTAAAATAAGGATGAGAAACGGACCAAAACCCAACGGCGGTATGTGTAATGATGCGATTAGCTAATATTATATCTATGAGACGTATTATATGTACGTAGGCTTTGAATATTTTATGATCAACTAGAGCGGCGAGTTATAATATTATTATTATATAGTTGTTTGATGAAATTTACAATTCACTTTTGTTTGAAATACCGAAGCTAGAAAGTCTCGTATTTTTTTTATCCAGTTCCTTGTATATTCTAAGTACGTGTTTCGTTCTTATTTCTAAGAAATATCTATTAAAAAAATCAAAAGCTCAAATAAATCTACCATACGAGCTTCGAAAAGGTATATAAAAAACAGATTGTTGAAAAGGACAAAGGTATTTACGCTAAGAGGAATTTGAAGTCGTTGGCTTTTGGCCGTTAAAGAGGACTGCCGGTGATTAATTGAGTGGCACAACAAAATTTTCGGATAAGTCACGACTCCGTTGCGTACACAGTGCTATCCAGAAGCGTAACGATCAATCTCAAAAACAAAAAATCAACGAGCACTCGCTTCTGGCCGTCCGTCAAAAACTAAAACTCTTTTATTAATCCCCTGAACGGTCGCCAACAGCAATTTACTTAGGTCACACGGTTGTTTTTTATTAGTATTTTAACACCATCGTCGCGAACATACAACATCCGCCATGACGGATACACTACGTTCACGTTTAATTTAATCTAACCGTTGTGTTAAAAACCAAAAAGCAACACACACAACCATAAGTACAATATATCTTAGCCTATAATGTAACCGATCGGCGCTCTGCGGACGGAAAAGGTCAATTGTTTCGGTCGTCTATAACCAAATCTCGACATGAACGCACAAAGGTATATTATATACTATTTTGTACGTTTCTTTAGCCGACCCCTTTCGTTATTACAATAATATATTATCATAATTTATAAGATATAATGTATGTTTACACACGGTCAAATCTAGTCACGCGCCGCCACTCGACCCCCGAAAAAAAACGTTTGTTGTTGTTGTTGTTATTGCGGTGGTGGTGCAACGTAAGTATAAGGGCGACAGAGTTGATTTACTCTCTTGACACGCTCCGTTTGACGGTCATGTTATAAACCGGGTGGTTTATGCCATTTTTTTTTTATAGCCGGCTCCCTTTTTTAATAATAATATTTTATATATTACAATATGGTTTTGCGGTCGAAAACGAATACCCCACTTTCGACAACGTGCAATACAAAATGCCCAGTCATCTTAGTTTTTTAATTAATCCCATCTTTTCGATCTCTCTTTCCCTGCTCTCGGTTTTTTATTATTTCTATTTATCAAACGCCGACCGTATCCGGTTTGTATCTAGAAAACTAAAGAAAACGTTTAATAACAAAAAAAAAAAAAGGAATACAAACAGACGCGACGGTTCCGCTACCCGAACTGACGACAAAGTCGGTAGTAATTTTTTTTACACATTTCAAACTTTCTACGTATCTCGTTGTAAATTACAAAAGGGCGCAGGTGGAAGTCGTCACGTTCTACTAATAACAAACAACCCACGCAAATGTTACAAAATAGGTACATACATTAAAAAGGACAATAAAAAAAAACAATATTCTAATGGTTAATTAATATTATGACGTTAAAAAATTAGTAGTGTTAAGTATATTATTGTAAAACATACCCCGCAATACCTAGTTAAGAAACACATATTTAAAAGATGCATAATATCATGACATATAAAGGGTGATTTTTTGTTTTTACTTCATCTTAAGTTCTTTTAAGGATGTATTGTGAATTGTAATATTTTACAAGAAGCTGGATTTCGATTGGGACATCCTTTTCCTTCGCCCTACAGCCAGCTTTCGAGACAAACGCATCCGATCTATTTATTGTAGACACCCGTCAAATTATCTGTGTCCTATTAGATAATAGATAGATAGACCAGCCGGTAAACGTTCGATTGAATCGACCCACTAAACCCCTCTCTCACACGAGGGTTTATCGCTTTTGGGTGCAAACAATTAGGCGATAGTATTATAATAACGCAATAAACGATTATCCTGCGTTATTAGAACAAAAGCAGTGTATTATTTACTCGGTCAATAATTTTAGTTGGATATTCACACCGTCCGTTTTTTTTAAATCCACGCCCACTCAGGGCCTACCTGCCAGTAGTAATTATTAAAAAAAGGCAGCGGTATCGTTTTAATTTTAGCAGAGGTACGTCAAAAAAATGACCGACGGACGGGCCGACCCACGTAGTAAATAATTTGGTAAATTTTTACATGTAGTCATACAGACACATTATTAAACAATACAATCATTTAAACCATCACAATAAAACTGTCTGAACCGGCCAGTTTCGGAATGGTCCACTCATAGAAAGACCGGCCTTGGTACTATCATTTTTTATAGGAACTAAATAAGATTGGACGAATTCGTCTGCACGCGTCTGCCCCCCCCCCCAGCCGCTTTCAGATAACTGCTATACAATATTTAGCAGATGAGCGCCAGCCCGATCAACACATTTACGGTCGCCTTGTAACCGTCAACACTACATTATATCATTATTACACGCACGTGGACAATTACAGAAAAGTAATGAAATGTATGTTAACAAGAATCTGCAAAATTGAAAACCCCCTAAAAAAATTAACGGTTGTCTGTTTAATACTAGCTTATCATAGTATATTATTATGTATTATCATGCTTAGTCTTACCATTCGTGCTGTTCCATGTGATACTGCAATACGAGACTGACGTGGTCGTCCGGTGAAAGGTACAGTTCGTCTTTGGGCTCACGTCTTCGGGCCATTTCTTTGGAATATAAACCGGGTACGATTTTGTACACGAGCTTTTCTAGAATTTCATCTCGCCTATACGAACATATAGTAGAATTAGCAGAAGTTCCACTTAGGTTTACAAAGAAGTGCTGAAAAAATGTCATAATAGTTTTGCGGTATACTCTACCTTATGCTCAACAGAGGTTTGGTTTTGTGTACTTGGACGTCGCATATCGGACAGAACCGGTTGGTTTTCAAGTAGTTGACGATGCACGAACGGCAAACTGCGTGTAAACAAAATTAAACACTAATTAATATTTTCCTTAATGATACTTAACATACATTGGCGATAAATGATAAAAATTCTATGTGTTTAACGAGACGTCACCGCGTTAAAACAACTCCATAAGGTGCAATGTAGTATATTTATTATGCAAGCATTCCTGCGCCACGGTCATACAAATTATCCTTAAAAGGCGCCGTCACCTCGACAGTCCATATTATTATCATCTTATATGCCTTCTCCTGCCGCAGTAGCATCAGTAACAATAAATTTATTCTCTTTCTCTTACTCAGCGTAAATTTCTTATGTACGTCCAACAAGTTATTATATAATAAGAGATAATAAAACACAAACCCGGCGAACAATTAGCTCACACGTCGATCGTGCACAACTTTTACCGGCTTTAGCTGACCACGCGCATTTATATATATACATTTATTATTATTATATTATCCTATCAAACGGTCAGCGCCAAAAACCTTAATACAAACCGAAAATCAAGATTTTCGCACGAGTTTCTTTTGGATTTGATTTGTCATCTCAGTATCACAGAATACACTAAATGGTCTCTTATACATTCAATACAGCCACGGGGTTACAATATACTGTACTGTAATGTAATACCGAATTAACCCGCAATGGAGTAGGAGCAAGCCCTAAATCACCGTCATCTTCGTGTATTTTTAATTTAATTGTAAATTATGCTATGTATAAGATCTATACATATATACTAACATTTTTTATTTACACTTCGATCTTTAAAATAACCGATAAGCGATATGACATCCGTAGAGCCACCGGTGTTTTTCCTCTTAACTAGATTATACTATCATCTAACGACCGGCTCAACGGCCAAAGGCTGTGCCAAGTGTATCCGTTTTTTGTGTAATCGCAGTTTAAAAAAAAGACATACTCGGTCGCCTCTTCTGGTTGGAGTTCGACAGAATTAATATGTTAATTGCCCTTTATACAATACGGTTTGCGCCCTGGCTGTATTTTCAATGATTTTCACGCTGAGGCTCCACTATAATGGCGTCATAATATAATGTGTGATTTTGCGAATGAAAAAAAAATGATAGACTATACAGGTTTTCGTTTCGTTTCGGGTCTAATAATAATAATGGGCAGGAGATCCACCGGCGTTCACGATGGCAAATTACATTGCGACCGCTTGTGTGCGTGTTTTTATATAGGAAAATATAAATATCGTATATATAATTCATACAGATAATTTTGTTTTTATCGTCACGCGTTCGCCGCGGATCGTGTGTCCACGTACGTGACGAGCAGCCACCGTTCCGTCACGACCTATGTAAAGAGGTAAGAGCTAGCAATAAGACGCGAATGAAAAACCGAAGAAAAACCTCCGGTATTATATTATAGCCAGCACAATAATACGCTTTGATACATTTGTATGAAATATATATTATGATGCTCTGCGTCGAGATGTTAACTGTGTATGTACCTACGTATACATGTGCATTGCCGCGAGAACCCAACAATTTAACCCGTTCGTTTCCCCTTTTGTATATTTAATTTAAATTACCATATTATATGCTATCGTGCCAGGATCAAACGGTCCAGATTACAATATAGGTATTGTATAGGCTATATCGATTCGTTTGATTGGCGTTCGTCCAGACAACAAGCGACTAGCGACAAAGATAGTTTCGTTTATTACAGAGTTTATGAAGAGCACATCGTTACCGTTTCAGGTTTGCTTGAACATTTAAAATTTTATTATGTACGATTTTTGAAACAAAATATAGAATTTGTATCGCGCTCAAAAAATTATACGCAGAATACTTTAACAAATTTGAATGATTTCGTTTTTTAATCTTCTGTACGATTAGTCATTATGCACTCGGTAACGTCGTCTTAGATCCAATTACGCTGATACTCGCATACAGTTTTCAAAACTAAATCTTCCTAAACGGATAACTCTCAAAAATTAAACGCATAAATTCGATAGGTATTAGTGCTTTTGAATGTCAGAAAGCTTTTAGACCCAATTGAGATTAAGGCATTAAACAAAAATCCTAACCTTCCGTCGCTTTAATTTGATTTAATACGCCGAAAAATGTTTTTTATATACAACAGACTACGAAAATAATTAACCGCAAGTTGAACGATCGCGAACACATCAGACCATTGGACCGTGGGCAAATGACCTTGCGCCGCCGCTGGAATAGGTACATAATAATCTTGTATTATCATTATATTATTACTATTATTCTATTCGACGGCGATAAATTGAACTCGACGTCGTCCACAGTACTCGAATTATGTTCTAACGATCCCATAATGATTCGCTGCGGGATTAATTTTCAGTTGCTATACACTTGTTATTACTGCGGTATGGGTATTTTGTGCGTTCATAAGCTATGGATGCCACCTAGCTCATACACGTGGTACAGCCGGAAAGAGAACAGCGCGGCTGAGAACGTTCAGCGGTGCCGCTACACAATTTCTGGAAAATCGTTTACCTTTCAACCGGGTTTATTTTACCGGTTAATATATTATTATAATATAAACGACGGCGACGACAAAATAACACGTCTATGGTCGTTTTCTTGTTATTATATTATTTTATTTCCGTTGGACGTCTGGAAAATTGTCGACGGAAAATTATCATACGGCATACACTCGACGATTTTATGAATAGAAAATTAATTTATGCGATTTACACGGACTCGGTCGTGAATGCCATTATCTTCTTCTGCGCGCGTTCACCCCCCCGTCTCGTCTACCGCCGCAGTCACGAACATTTCCTTACCGTCCATCATACCTCGCGTATGTAATATTTATATATCGTCACATCGTTTTACATTACATTATTATACAAATGATGATAGATTACGATTTATGATAAACCCATAAGAATCATTTTTTTTTATCACGCGACGTCTGCGAAAACTATACCTAACATCGTAACAATACATATACATATATATATATAACAAATAATTTAATATTAAAGCCACTCCCGACAAATAACACAATACGACGATATACCTACCAAAGTATTAAGACGCCATTTGTTTGATCGTATGGAAACATAATAATACATACGCTTACAAACAGCATCCGTCCACAGATCATTTCGTCGAAATCGTTTGGAAAAAAATGTAAAATTATTTTTATAAATTCAATTTGAAATGTCTTTTCAGTTTCGCACGGATACTACGACGTGGCTCTACGCTGCAGATTTTAAAAAGTGTCATCGCGATACGCGCGGCTCGTACCATAATAATATACAATACTTATATGTATTTTATTCACACACATATAATATATAGTATGAGGTATGCACGGGCAACGGCAGTTACAATATGTGTATACGAGTGACCCATTATATTTTGACTTTAATGTGTTTCTCACGTATACGACACACATACAATGTCGAGGACGCCCTCGTCGCTTCTAATCGCCGACAATTAGTGACTGAACTATTCCATCGCACACTCGCAGTTGCAGTACAAAACACCACACGCTCATAAATACAATATAATACACATCTCGTATGATAAAAAACACAGGCGCGCGCCGTCTTCCGGGCCAGAGGCTCGGCGCGTGCAATAAGTACACACATACACGAGTTTTTTTTTTAAATATAAATATTCGTCGATAACCCCTTGTGTGCACGCATATATTAATATAATATGGACTTTTCGAAAACGAGCCGGATGTATAATGCCGGGCCGAGCAACGTTTGTGCTGGAAAATCACGGTCTCCCTTCTTTTAAAAAAACTGCACCGGTTATCAGACGTTGCACCCTTTGAATATAGCTACCGGCAGTACATCATTATGTTACCGTCAATATCAATAATAATTAATAAAAAATCAGTATTATGCAATAATAACGTTTTGCTAAACATATCTTTCGCTCACATATCTTTATTGTATTTTTAACGAGAACCCGCTCTACACCGACTGGCTACCAAATACCATCCCCCGTGAATTATTCTATTCGCCATGATCATCTTTGTCTATACTCTTTAGTTCTCTTACATGACGGAGCTCTCAAAGACCTAACACTTATTTTAATCAATATTATATATACTATACTTCCTCCCCAATCACAATTACAATTTTGTGACCACTAGATAACGTAGGTAATAATTTGTATTATTCTCTTGCACTATGTATGACTTCATAAATGATACAACGCGAGGGGGTGAATAAGTGAATTGATCATACTTACATGAATGCAGACACTCGACTATGGTGGATGGTTGTATGTAGTAGCCCCCGCACAGGACACACAGTAAATGCGGGTTTAGGTCTTTCAACAGTCGCCGCTGTGGTTCCTCCTTCATGGCGATTCCGACGGCGTAGGCGGTTATATTACAATGTAATTCTTCTTCTACTTCTTCTCCTTCTGTAAATATATACACACAAACAGAACAATAAATATTTGTTGTTAAACAAATTCGACACGAAACGCGCGTGACACAGGCGCACGAACATAATACACACAACTTAAAATATAAAGAACGGTTTCTTTCTATAATGTTGATGAAGTGGTCCCTACAAAATGACAAAATTGTCCGAACAATATTTATATAGATAAGAACGACGAAACTTCAAATGTATACTATTCGTTATAGTAGCGCGTCTTTTTTACAGTAAACATTCGTCCTTACATATTACAAAGTATGTGGTTTTCAAATCTGATCCGTTTTTAAACTGTCAAATGTATACCGGGGGCTCTAAACATAATATTTTGGTGGCATAATATAATAATAAGTACATCTATTTTATTGGACATTAAACATAGAAGGCGGGGGAAATAAAAAAAACTGTGAAACTTATAGCCACGTTCCCTATAAACCCCACAATTCCTCCCACCGGCTTATGGTTGAGACAAAAAACAAAAACTAATAATTTCAAGTTAAACGCGGTCGTTACCGCAATAACAATAATTGAAACAAACACGAGACACGCCGAGCGCCTCATTATTTGGATTCCGGATACAATTAGGCCGACGCCCGTCGCTTCCTTCTTCTCAGCAATAGCCAACCCGTCGGGGAAAGACCGCACGATACACGTGAAAATTGTAAAACTAACTCTTTGATCGGTAGTCAAACTTAATCCTTAATAAAATAATATTAAGAAAAAAAACCATACTTGCTAAAAAAAATAGAAAAATAGACTGACATGGTTTGGCACGTTTTGAGAGAAGAGGAATCGGAAGCAGTGAGAATGGAAATAAAAAAACGTAGGAAGAAAGACGGGGAGAGGAAAACCGAAAAAAGGCGGTTGGGTGCGATTCAAAATTATATGAGAACAGCTAGCGTATGCGAAGATGGTGTGTACTGGAAGTTTAGGACATGGGCGGCCGACCCCAAATAGGTGGGATGAAGCCGAAAGAGAAGTAAATGTTTTATCCATAATTTATATCCCTACTCTACATATTCGTATCGAAGCGTTTTTTTAAGGGTTTATTTACATATTTCATACTTATATACAATACTTATACAAAAAAATATTCACATATAATATGTAATTACTATAGAAATATTAGAGAACATTAATTATAGGTAATATATGTTGTGTGCTGTGATTACTTGTTAGCGACAATGACATTAGAAGGGTCGTCTATTGGAACGGGGCCTAAATACAAATGATATTGGGTTGAGATTTGTCATAGGGGTTTACATATTTCCACCGCTCCGCTGCGTGTATCGCTGACATGGTAATTTGTATGCAAGGGGGCTTTAGAGCGGCTCGTTAAAATGCGATCAAAATATATTATTATTATTATATATGTCTTGTGACAGTTAACGCCGACCAAAGCAATAACATAATGTATTATCTGCTCGAGTATCTCTTTGCCTGGCTATTTTTTGTGCACAATAAGTCACAAAACTGCAATCTCTGTACAACCATTAACAAAGAGATAACTTGAAGAAGACACGGGATAACACAAAAGAGATGCAGCCCATGACTCGCTGCCGTTAAAACATTATAAACGCGTAGAGAAGGGTTTTTTTTTTTTTTAATTTCGCTTTGAACCCGAGTCCCTACATATATAGAACGGTCCTATTAGTGTGATGTTATACCCGTCATAACCACAAGCTTATACCGCAGGAGGGCGACGACTTTGTAACGCGATCGGTCGATACTGCCAGCGCTTTTCATCGAGTCGGCTACCCGACTCCCGGAAATTCTTTGTGAAGAATGCTAGTGGATGTATAAATGTATTCTCATTTGACATAGATGTTGTAGTTCGAAGCCAACCACTCAATAATATGAATTATAGATATTTCTACTCCAAGGCTTACCTAGAAAATGTCCTCTGCAATTTTACTCAATTTACCTTTATTAATTTGCTATTATTAACATTAGCTCATATATTATTTATTTATTCAAGCGAAGTGCGAACTATATACATCACAGAGGTATGTACAGTAGTCTTAAGCCAGAATAGATAAATGTTCATTAACGATTTAATAGCAATGACCATTTAAATCACCAGTGATTGAACCATTACATTTTCATCAACCATTGTACTTCTCAATTTTTTGTGCAACCCGGCATTTGTCTTATATTTGGGTACAAATTAAATTTAATTGCGGATTACAATTAACCGCTCGTACCACAGCAGTTTTCCACTACCACTATTTGTCAATATTTAGAAAAAAATGGACTTTTCCGGAGAACGCACACAATCGACTGGCCAATTATTTGTTCCACAGTGTTTACTAATTACTATACTTAGGCGCTCGCGTACACGGTGGACCTCTTCGGGTAGGTATAGACTCTATCGGATAAAGTTTATCCGGCTTCGATAGGACTAAAGTGTCGCGAGGATGGACACCACCGCATCGCCCTCTGTCCTAGAACCTCCCCCCGCAGTGTGCACCGACACCTAAATTGGATTAACGCCCCCGCCGGCGCGTTTTAGAGAGGGGGTTAAGAGTTGGGAAGCATTGCGGGCCCGTAGCCTTTTATTTAATCCCATTAAGGGTCCCGAAAGTCTGTTTATATACCTAAAAATCACCTCGTACACATAAATCATCTCACTCGAAGCATCGCACCACCGCCCCAAGTACTCTCACTCGTTCTATGCGTGTATATATATATATACACCGTACCGTCGCTGTCACCGCCGCCGTCACAGCGTGTGCATGCTTGGTTCGTTAATACATAGCATCGAGTTAAGTGTACGCCCTAGGATATATATATATATATATATATGACGACGGGGACAGCATGTTGCATGTGACAAATAGAATTCGACGAGCCGATAATAAATGAAGAAGAGTTTTATTGGAAGTTCAAAATGTAAGCGCATAATATAAAAAACCGTACACGAACTGGTACATAACAGCAGTACTATTGTTTAAACAGGAAGGCGTTTGTATGCGGCACCGTAAAGGAACATGGGAAGTGACGGCCGTCGCTGTGGTCGTGATGGATGTAATTCGGGCAATTGATATCTAAGATGATAATACAGACATACGAACAAACGTCTTGGTCCGTTAAACTTACAAATAAGACCGTAATTACATAATATGGTAGTCGCGTTCGACCAACGTTATTATTAATGTTATTATAAAAAAAATATCTCTAGCCTCAAAACCCAACGCACGACTGTTTTGGCGGTTATAAACCCGTTTGCAATACACAAGTATACTGTAACTTCATACTTCTACAGCGTGTTACCAATTACCTCTATAAGTTATAGAGCGCATAGAAATAGCCGTGTCTACCAACTATGCGGGGAGACAGTATTTTTGATGATCTATTATTATTATCTACTATTCTATACACACTGTTTGCAAACCGTGGCGGAAAAAAGTTTTTCGTATAGGGTAGTTAGGTCATTTTTGGAATTTATTCTAACTGGTCGAGCCGTTCCGCACATAAAAAAGAAGGATGAATGGACTGCATGTAGTGAGCGGTAGGCACTACTGTTCGGGGCAACCGGCATTATTAAAAACACACAAACATACACACACACCGTGACCAACACCCATGACGGCGGCGGTCGTTCCCATGGAACCACAACGTTATTTTTTTCCTATTACAATTATTCTCTGTACTCCGCACAGGTACATTATTACTATGTCTTGAATACCGCGGACATTCGTATCATTAGGTACTACTGTTTTTATACGCAGTTATCCGCGGCTATCGAATTCGCACGTGTACAACAATGCTGTAATCAGTAATGTGTTGTATTATTGCGTTTTTAGACGGCCTTTATGGTCGTCCGAGCATCTTTTGACGCGGGAAATTTCTATTGAACAATTCGTTCCAACAGCCTCTAAAAACTATAGCCAGCGATAGATCCAAAGGTCTTGTGAAGAAGGAGGCACATTTTTTAAAATTTTAGTTTGGTAGGTAAGTAATAGTGAAAGAAACGAGTTCACTAAAATTGTTATTTAATTAACATTGATTACATTGGCTCTTTAATAATTTATCTTGTCCTATTTTTTGATAAGTTATGGACCAAGGGTGGGGGTGAGATACATAATGACATAAAAATGATGTACCCGTGTAGTACTTTAATACAGGATTTCATTTTTACATAATACAATAATTAATTATATTATATTTTTAATACGTATATAGGTAGTTGGATTTTTTTAATTATCAGGCGCCTCTATTAAAAAAAAATAGTATGAATACCTAGCCTGGCGACTGCAGATTTGCCTTAGATTCCATTCAGGCCGAGTACGGCGAAAATCCGTTCGTGTAAGACAAAATGTAATAATTGTAATGTTTATGTTAGACGCCGAACACCTGTAAGCGGTCGGCTTGAACGACACCGGGTGGTGCGACGGAAGGATTGTACATCGAGTCTCGGGAGTTTTCCCCGCAGTGTTGCCAACCCAATGGTTTTCCGGCCGAAAAAAGAGCCGGCCGCTACCACGACAAAAGCCGCCGGCTCGTATTGATCCTGAGCACGGGCACGCGCCCTTACGCACTGCATACGGCTTTTGTACGTTGTAGTCTTGTCGTCAGACGTCAGCAGTAGCGCAACAAGTGCATATACCACTACTGTGCAAGTACAATATTGGATCGATAAAGATGTGGTGTATAAAATTGAATTCGTTTCAGTAGTCGGTCTTAACGTTTATTTACAGGATTTTATCCACAAACGCAAGACCGCTCGACAACGCAGTACAGGATAACACCAGTCGTTCGGTTGTAAAAAAAAGAAAGGGTTTCGTTACATAAACGTGACGCCCAGACTGTTTCGGATTGAAATGGGGTGTGCACGCGCGCAAGACACATAGAGCCGGCGGTAATAATAAAATACGATGATCGTCGAGCCGGAATTCCGGTGCGCCGTGCGGGGTTGATAAGAAGACTACACACGATGACGAATGACGATTATTTATAAAATATACCATAATATATTATTAT